TTTTGAGAGAGACAGAGACAGAGAGAGACAGAGACAGAGAAAGACAGAGACAGAGAGAGCACAAATGGGGGAGGGGCAGAGAGAGAGGGAGAGAGAGAGACAATCCCAAACAGGCTCTGCACTGTCATTGGGGAGCCCGAGATAGGGTTCAGACTCACAAACTGTGAGACCATGATCTGAGCCAAAGTTGGACACTTAACTGACTGAGCCACCCAGGTACCCTAAAAGATTTCATTTTTTAAAAATTAACCTAGGAATAAATCTAACCAAAGAGGTGGAAAATCTATACACTGAAGACTATAGGAAGCTATGAAAGAAAGTGAAGAAGACACAAAAAAATGGAAAAAGATTCCATGCTCTTGGATAGAAAGAACAAATATTGTTAAAATGTCAATACTACCCAAAGCAATCTACATATTCAAGGCAATCCCTATCAAAATAACACCAACATTCTTCACAGAGATAGAACAATTAATCCTCAAATTTGTATGGAACCAAAAAAGACCCCGAATAGCCAAAGTAATCTTGAAAAAGAAAACCAAAGCAAGAGGCATCACAATCCCAGACTTCAAGCTATACTAAAAGCTGTAACCATCAAGACAGTATGGTACTGGCACAAAAACAGACACTCAGATCAATGGAACAGAATAGAGAACCCAGAAAAGGACCCACAAACGTATGGCCAACTAATCTTTGACAAAGCAGGAAAGAGTATCCAATGGAATAAAGACAGTCTCTTCAGCAAGTGGTGCTGGGAAAACTGGACAGAGACATGCAGAAGAATGAACCTGGACCACTTTCTTACACTATACACAAAAAATAAACTCAAAATGAATGAAAGACCTAAATGTAAGACAGGAAGCCATCAAAATCCTTGAGCAGAAAGCAGGCAAAAATCTCTTTGATCAAAATGTTATTTTTAAAGTTTATTTTCTGAGAGAGAGTATGTGAGTGGGAGAGGGGCAGAGAGAGAGAGAGAGAGAGAAGGACAGAGGATCTAAAGCAGGTTCTGTGCTGACAGCAGAGAGCATGATGTGGGGTCCAAACTCATGAACTCCAAGACCATGACCTGAGCTTAAGTCGGACACTTAACTGACTGAGTCACCCACGTGCCCCTAGAATCAAAATCTTAATAACCTTGTATCTATTAAAGAAATTAAATCCATTACTAAGAGCTTCCCTACAATGAAAACCCCATATTTTATGCCTAAAAGTTTTGGTATGCATTCTAGTGTGTTAAGAATTTGACTTGAAAAACGGATGCTTTTAGATAAGCTGGGATAATATTGTTTTTATACCAGCGGTTGTAAACTCAGAGGCTACAGGGGACAGGCAAGTAAAATAAATGAGAGAAGCCTGCCATGTTCCTCTGGGGTAAACTGGAGAGCCATGAGTCTCTCAACAGAGAGCAACCATTCAACTCTTCCGACTGCTGCAGTAGAGGAATGCTTGTTTAGTATTATGAGAAATGACTTTACAAAAGAAGCACCAAAGACTGATTCTGGTTTCTGTACTCTGGATTTCTCCACATGAGGCCACCCTGTGCCAAAGCCTCCCTTCTTCCCATGTACATATTTACAACACATCCACGAGAAAGTTAATGGTTCATTGCTAAAATACAACCAAGTTAGGGCCACCAACATTGCTGACCTTGTGCTGGTTGTGCTGCTGCTCAGGGTGCATGCATTCAAATTCATTCAACAACTAGTTGAATGTACCAGCATGTTCTACATGCTGGGGATACAACAGTTAACATAACAGTAAAAATTCCCCTAGCTCATGGAACTGACATTCCAGTGCCAAAGACACTATATGTGTATTAGAATTATAAAAGATAAACACTTTTTTGTGAATATCATGAAGGATTCCTATATGGGATGCTGGGACAAAAGTCTAATAGTTTAAAAAGAACACAAAGACCCTTTTAAACTGTACCAGTCCTCGGATTGTTATTAATTTCTTACATAAAAGTACAGAATTAAATTCAGGAGCCACTAAACACAGACTCGCTGACTCAGAGAAATCTCAGCAGATCTGACTGTTAAATGTTAAGGAACTTGGAATGTTTGGCAGCACATAATTTATTTGGGCAAATATTATGGGACAAAGAGCCAGGCAATGTGGGGCAAGGGCATTCAGCTGTTGTTGTTTTTTATGCTTTGTGATTAACTGTGAGGAATCAGCTTAGGAATTCTGAGTCTGCACTGATGGCATGAAGAATTAGAAAGCTATAGCATGTACACACCCAAGTTTAGGTAAACTTGAGTAGATAAATAAGATTAGGTAAAGTGGGGCAAAAGTCCCAGTATAGAACAAAGGTATAGGAATAGGGAATCTCAGGATGAAAACATCCCAGATGAGGTAAACAAGATTAGGTATTCAGGGTGGAAATGCCCCCCAACTTAGTACTATAGCAGAAAGCTGCTTCCATAGGAAGGAAGGACCAAATTAGATAAACAGGTAAATAGGGCTACAGACCACTGCAGGGCGAAGTTGCCCAAAGTGGAGCTAATTAGCAAAAGAAAGGTGCCTTGTTGACCCTGAGGTAGAATGGTCTGTCTTTCTTGTCCCCTAGACCAGTTTAGGTAAACAGAGGTTGTGCCTCATGTCTGCTATAAACAACCTTCAGCCCAGCACCAGGATTCTGTTTTGTGTTAACCCAAACCCCTAACACCGCATATCTTCAAAATCCCATTTCCCTCACATCCATGAATTAATGTTCATGATTTCATTGTCTTTTTGTGCACACCCATCACCATGTTTGTAAGCCTTCTGATCCTAATAAAAACAGAACGAGGACCCTTACTCGGGACTCTTGTCCTCCCCCGGACATTAGCCACTCTCACATTTTTAATCCTGTGTCCCGCTTTCTTGATGGATAAGAAAGAACACCAGATCCAGAGTTTACAATTAATATCTATTTGACTATATGTATTAAGCAATGTTTAATATAAAATTGTATCAGGGGTTGGTAGGAAGAAATTGTTTGTCATGAGTTTCACCAAAACAAACAAAACGTAAGGTTGCTGACACTGTATTCACCTCTCCTAGGACATGAAATGGGGAATCACACTGTCTATAGAGGAAAAATGAAGAGCTGCACATTTTATCTACTTTCCTATCTCCATTACCTAGAATAGTAATTGGCACATGTTAGGGGCTCACTAAGTTTTAGCAGAATGGATGGATGGATGGATGGATGTAGTATCAAAGGGAGAGAATGAATGAATTTGGACAGAATGCAACCTCTCATGAACAGATTTGGGAGGCTTCTCTAGGAATCAAATCAAGTTGTGTGTAATATGTTAGGAGTCTAGAGTAACAAAATGTTTAATTTCTAAGATGAGTCAGGGGTTATAAGTTGGTGGCCTGTATCCCACCTCTGGACATAGGTTGTCTGAATTACCAGGTACTTTCTTTTGTTTTATAACCAATTCTTTGCCAGGGCACTGGGTGGCTCAGTTGAGGGAAAGCTAGGGGAGAGGCCCCATGCATCATTAGAGACACAATGACCAAGATCAAGGCAATTAGCAAAGTGGCAACAGACAGATGAGAAGTGTTGGCAGAATAAATATTATTGGGATGAGGACGCTGGGGGTGGGGAGAACTTGGAGACATGGATAAATGGGCAAGGTTCAACAAGAATGATATAAAACGCAACAAAGATGAGGCATCCTGAGGTCATATTTACTTGGTGGTTCTCTCCATGGGTTGATGTGTTAACTACCTATAAGGACTATAAATCAAGGGGAAAGTGAAGGCATCACTTTTTGCTCTCTCCACCTCCTCCCTCTCCAGCCCATCTCATGGTTCAAAAGTTCTTAACTAGATTACTGGTCAGGGCAGTGATGAAAGTCAGCTTAGAATCTGAGGAAAGAGATGTTTGGCATCATCAAATTGTGATACTAGGTTAAATAATGTATTACAGAATTAGATAGCCTGGACCCAAATCCTGTTCTTTCTCTTATTAGGCATGTGCTGGTTTCTGTGTGTTATTTAAACCCTTGACACCTCAGTTCCCTCATCTAGAAAATGGGGGTGATGAAAATGCTCACCTACTCATAGTATTAAATGCCAAGTGCACTTTAAAAAGTACCTATGCCCTCCCTTGGCATTATTATGGAAGTTCAGAAAAAGGAAAAAGAAGGAGGTGGGGAAGAAGCCCACATGTTAGTTGAATACTAACATATAATGCAGATGCATGGGAAATTTAAAAATTATATTAACTCTCTGACTCCATCTCAGGTAAATTCTGTCCAAAGACAGTGTTGGGTGAGTTTTCTCACTGTGGACATCACCAGCTGGGACTTAGTAGCTGGAGCACCATGAACTGTCTATCTCAACTCCTAATGTCCCTACTTCACCTCTCTTGGTCTGTCTCTTGGAGAGAGATAAACTGAACAGTTGGGTTTTTCTGTAGACATGTGTAATCTCTAGAGGTCATATGGACTATTTTCCCTATACATACCCTAAAGACACACTCAAGTACGTAGTTGATAGGGAGGAATCCAGTTACACATGCCATCCTCAAAGAATGACAGATGACATGACCTAGCTACATATGTCAGATGCTCATGTGTACAGTCAGGTGATCTGTCCCTTCCCTCTGAGTGTAGCCTGAAGTGAAGACCAAGTGTAATGAGACAAATTCCTATTAGGCTCATAGTCTCATTAGTTGAAGGTAAGAATTCAGACTAAGGTCAACTTACCGACCTTAGAAACTTTGGTCACAATTATGTGACTGTGTACCAGATATTTTCACCTGCTATCTTGTTTCCAAAATGAGATTATCACAATTTCATAGATAAAACCACTGAGGCTCAGAGGATTGAGAACGTGACTAGGCTGAGAATTGAACCCCCAAATGTAAGCTTTTCCCACAATACTTCTAAGCTGAGGCAGAAGCCATTTCTGGTTCTGTGCCCCTCAGTCTACTAGGATCATGATAAGATCAATGAGGCCATTCTTGTTCTCACCTCCCATCATGAGTGCCTCCTTACCTGTTCCATTTGAGTCCAATAGTCCAGGACATCACTTGCAAAGTTAAATTCCTTAGGTCTATCGTAGTCATTCCATCTCAGGGTTCCAGCTCCTGATAAAGACCGGCAACAAAGGTACCAAGGGGCAGGGTGAAAGCCATGGTAGGATTTGCGGATGCCCCAGAGGACTTGGAGCCTCATCAGCCTCTGCATGGTGGAAGAGGCCTCAGGAAGCTGACACAGAATTCTCAGGTCAACACCTGCCTTGGGAAGAGATAGTACTAGATTGGCCATGGAATAGTAATTTCCTCCACAAAATGAAGGCAATAGCTTTGTGAGAGAAATAGCTTTGTTTCAGATCACCAGAATGTGGATGACACAAGACCCATCTGCATCGCTACCCCTCTCTTGTTAATATTTTCTCCCGGATTCTGTGAGCCAACAATTTTTCCTGCCTGAGATTGCATTTCTGTCACTTGAGACTATAAGAATATTGACAAATATACAGCACCATACTCAGGAATGATGAGGCTAATATCACAACACCTGTGCTAGTGGACTGATATCTGGCCAGATGGGGGGCAGGGAACTTTCCCAGGACATCATTCCAGGCAGCTATCACCAACCCATCAGAGTTGACCCATGAAATGCAACTTTTTGCCACTCCAGATCCCAACAAAGACCCTTCACATGGAAGCAGAAACTTCATTTATTATTATTGATGACTCTGAAAAACTGCCTTAAGCTAGAACTATCTTTCCATGAGAATGCTGGCTGAAGGAAACCATTTCACAAGCAGTTTTGCCATCCAAGCACTTTATGTCTGCAAACAATAAAGTCTCCTCCCCCTTGGATTCAGCAATCATGATGACAGACCACAGAATAGATGGATAAAACCTGGCTCAATTTATTTTAAGGTGCTTTAGACCAATAATAATCTAACCCCAATTTTAAGGCTGCCCCAGAGCCCCACTTTGCATTCCTAGTTGGGGAGGCACTGCTATATATGCGATAGAGTGAATGTCTGCATAAAATAGGATACTTGAAAAGTTCATCACTTAGAGTTTGCTTGTCAGCATGGATCCTTGGGCCACATGAACTAAATAAAGTATGCCCCTTTCTTTTTACCTCCTGTCAATCAACAGTACCATCTTTTGTTTTATCAGAGCACTTTTGGGCTAGAAAGACCCTAAGATATCAGCTGAGCCAGACCTGGCCCTTAGACATACTCCTGTTGGCTCTTGGTCTTTGTAGGGAAATTTAGAAGTTTTTTTAAAGTTTACTTATTTATTAATTTGAGGGGGGGGGAGAGAAAGAGGAGAGAATGAATGAGTTTGAGTGGCGAAGGGGCAGAGAGAGAGGGAGAGAGAGAGAGAATTCCAAGTAGGCTCTACACTGTCAGCACAGAATCCAACATGGGGCTTGGACTCATGAGCTGTGAGAGCATGACCTGAGCTGAAACCAAGATCTAGATGCTTAACTGACTAAGCGTCCCTGGAGGGAAATTTTAAATGGTCAACATTTAAACCTTGGGAGGTTTCATTTAAAAGCCCAGAAGGTTTCTCTTGAAAATGTAGGAGGTCTGGCAATACTGGGCCTTTATTTCAAACTGGCACTAACTGATTGAAGCTGAGAATTGTATGCTTAATTTACATGGAATGTTCTCCAATTTGACATGGTTTTCACCATGACTTTTTTTTCCCACACCAGCTTGCTTCTCCACTTACTGTACCTGTCAAGCCTCTGTGCATATTTGAGCTTAAAATCGTTCATTTGGGCCAGCATCTCCAAAGGGACAGGGATTTCCCCAAGGTTGCAAGGCAAGTGTGGTAGCAGAGCTGGTTCTAGAAACATGCCTTTCATGTTCTTTTGTCCAACACATACCTGCCTCCACAAATGTGAACTGATTCAGAGCAGGAATACCAGACTCATCTGCTATTTTTATGCATGGTTATATAAATGGCCTCAGGAATCTTCCTTAAAATGCTCAGGGTCAGTGCAAATGACCCCTGAGTTAGTGGCTAAAGACAACAACAAAAGCAAGAGAAATAAGGAGGAAATTAATTCATCCTTTATTAGGGGTTAAATTGCATCTCCTTAAAATTCATATGTTGAAGTCCTGAGCTCCCAGTACCTCAGAATGTGACTATATTTGGAGACAAAATCTTTCCAGAGCTGATTAAGCTAAAATGAGGCCAGTAGATGGACTCAAATCCAGTATGACTGGTGGCATTAAAAGAAGAGGAGATTAGGACACAGACACACATAGCAAGGAAAATGACATGCAAACATGAAAATAGGTATCCAAAACCCAAGGAGTGAGGCCTCAGAAAAACCAACCCTCAGACAGCTTGATCTCAGGCTTCTCACCTCCAGAACTATGAGAAAAGACATTTGTGTTTGGAGCCCCCACAGTCTATGGTACTTTGTTATGGCAGTCCCAGCAAATGAACACACCTCTCTTAATCAAATAAAAAGAAATTACGTTGGCATCATCTTATAAATGTGTTTGCAACTCTAATTTAATCTCCACGAGAAGACCAAACACAGTGCCCAGTGAGGACTGTGGTAGCCAAGAGTGTGCCCTTAGGAGTCAAACATCATAGCTTCTAATTCCAGCCACTTCACTCACCACCTAGGTAAATGGGAAATTTTCTTAACCTCTGTCTAAAATATGGAAATACTGGCAGCACCTGTTTCCTACACTTGTGGTGATGAATGGCTGACATTCCACCTAAGGCATTTAGGCATGGACTCAGTGCAGATGAGTGCTCTGGAATCAGGAGCTATTATTAGTTGTCACTCTCTCTGGGGAAACTCTCACGTGCTTAATCTTTGGAACTGGAGTCTAAAGAGAAGGAACAGGAATAAATTAATGAACAATCTTTTGAAGTGCTTTAAAGTAAATGAACAAATCAGGAGACTATAGATGCTGGAGAGGATGTGGAGAAATGGGAACCCTCTTGCACTGTTGGTGGGAATGCAAACTGGTGCAGCCACTCTGGAAAACAGTGTGGAGGTTCCTGCAAAAATTAAAATAGATCTACCCTATGACCCAGCAATAGCACTGCTAGGAATTTACCCAAGGGATACAGGAGTGCTGACACATAGGGGCACTTGTACCCCAATGTTTATAGCAGCACTCTCAACAATAGCCAAATTATGGAAAGAGCCTAAATGTCCATCAACTGATGAATGGATAAAGAAATTGTGGTTTATATACACAATGGAATACTACGTGGCAATGACACAGAATGAAATATAGCCTTTTGTAGCAACGTGGATGGAACTGGAGAGTGTTATACTAAGTGGAATAAGTCATACAGAGAAAGACAGATACCATATGGTTTCACTCTTATGTGGATCCTGAGAAACTTAACAGAAGGCCATGGGAGAGGGGAAGGAAAAAAAGTTAGAGAGGGAGGGAGCCAAACCATAAGAGACTCTTAAAAACTGAGAACAAACTGAGGGTTGATGGGGGGTGGGAGGGGGAGGAGGGTTGGTGATGGGCATTGAGGAGGGCACCTGTTAGGATGAGCACTGGATGTTGTATGGAAACCAATTTGACAACAAATTTCGTATTAAAAAAAATAAAAATTGAATAAAGGTCAAATCTATCCATAAAAAAAAGAAGTGCTTTAAAGTATATTTTGAAGTCACTGTGGAATTGTGGCTTTGAAAGGTGGCTAAGCCCACCATTATTTGCCTAGGTACACAGTGCTTGAAGAGTTCCTGGAACTGAGCTTTGATTTCACAAGATTTTGGACTGAAAAAGCTATTTATTTTATGAGGCAACACACTTAGCATGGAGTTACAGAGCCAAGTTTAGTTACACTGGCTACCAGCTCAGTAAACTTGGCCACTGTTTTTATGTCTCTGGAATTAAGGGCACACTAGTAATATCTACCTTGGGGCTTCCTACAAGGATTAGTGATATAATATGTATACATTATCTTGCCAGCATTGTGCCTAATATACAATAAGGGCTAAATAAATATTGAAGTGCTAATTCCCAGCAAATTCTGAAGCCAACTCCCCATTAGATATTAAAAATATTTTTTTTTAATTTTTTTTCCAACGTTTTTTATTTATTTTTGAGACAGAGAGAGACAGAGCATGAACGGTGGAGGGGCAGAGAGAGAGGGAGACACAGAATCGGAAACAGGCTCCAGGCTCCAAGCCATCAGCCCAGAGCCTGACGCGGGGCTCGAACTCACGGACCGCGACATCGTGACCTGGCTGAAGTCGGACGCTTAACCGACTGCGCACCCAGGCGCCCCTAAAAATATTTTTTAAATGAAAGACATTCACTTTATATGATATGAACTAACTTCTGCATAGTGGAATTTTCTTTCACTTGTTCACTTTCTGGGTCATTCTTACTTCTCTATGTACCCTCCTTCACAGCCCATCACATTCAGATCTGCCTAACATGAAACAGATCACACTCTATGCCAGCCACTGCACTTGGCCTATCACATGTATAATCTCCTTTATCCTTCTCACGATACCCCCATTCTCCTTTTGCAATTAAGGAAATTAAATGTGAAAAGAGTTAAGAGCCTTGCCCAAAGTCAGCCAACCTATAAGTGACACAGTCAGAACTTGAAATTTGGTCTTCATATTTTAAACTATGCAAATACTTTCCTGTCCTATGTACATAGACACACACACACACACACACACACACACACACACACACCTCACAAAGATGCTATCGTTCACCTGTCTTACCTGGTACTCTCTAAGCAAGAGGTGGGCTTGGTCCTGGACTAGTGTAGAAATGGGAACTTGGCATATTCAGTTCTCTCTGATCAGAAAAGTCCCCAACACTGTACACACAAAAGAACTTTCCACCTCTGGGGCGGAGAACTTGGCAAGAATTGGATGATTTAGAAATAGGAGGAGATGCTCAGATAGAAAAGGGCAAAAAACAATCACAGTCCTCCATGGGAGATAATCAGTTGGGTAAAGAAAGTATTTGAAGTCATCCCAGTTCTTATGGGATGATGACCTGCGGTGTGAATAAATAAATAAAGTCAAATGAAGAACTCTCACTAGCTCTCTGTGGCTAACCTGCTCTCTGTCCCAACCCTGTACCTCCAATGCTCACATTTAAGTGACAGCCAAGTGGCACAAAGCCTGTGCTCTGGAAGCAGAAAGGTCTGAGTTCAAGTCTCCAGTCTGCCACCTACCATCTCTTTGACTTTCACTGACCTCCTTTATCTACCCTTGTTTCCTTATGTGCAAAATGGGAATGATAATAAGGATACCTGTCTCTTAGGGTCGTCTTGTCTTTGTTGCCTTTGTTAGGATTAGAGAATAATTTATGATGAGCATGTAGCACAGTGCTTGGCATAATCAATGGTGGCTGTTTTTATTAATTTGGGATTTGGAGAGAAATACTTTGGTGTACTAGCAAAATGCAGGGTCTTTGGAATCCCAAGGCCTGAGCTGAAATTCTGGATCAACCTCTTACAAAATGGCTGATGGACAAGTCATTTGCTTCTTCTAACCCTTGACATTCTCATCTGAAAAACAGAGGAGTGGGGTTGTTAATCAGATTTGTCCCTTGAGATCTTTGAAAGGACTGCACCTGGTAAAGTTTGTACAGCACTTGGCTGAGGCATGTAGATGCTGGATTGATATTGATTCTGCATTGAATAAGCCCAAATTGCTGCATGAAGTGACTTGCACTGTTAGTTTTCTACTAGAGACATTTTTGGGGTGTTGTGGGGGGATGGGGATCTCCAGAACCTTGACCCAACTTTCCCAGACCCTTTTTTACCCTCCCACCCTCCAATGCACCAAGGACAAAAATACCTCTGCTTGAAGTCACCACAAAGATTGCTGGAGGCACACAGAATATCCCTGCCAGGGCTGACAGGCAAGCCTGGTTTCTGAAAGGTGAGTTGTCCTCCTCCTGGCTGATTCACTCATGATGAATTCTCAGCTCAAGATAGGCTTTTCTACAGAGAAGAGTGGATGAGAAGGCAGTGATAGTTGACTGGGCATAGATTAAAAATTAAACAAACTAAGTATCAGAGCATAAAAGACCTTGATATTCAAGCAGAAGATGCAGTCACTTTTGGGAAGATGGTGGGGACAGGAGGAAAAGTCCACAATACACACTCTGGATCTCAGTGGATCTCCTGTATGGAAATGTAACACTGGTGTTGTGGTCAAGAAGACCAACTCTGGAGCCCGGCAGCCTAGGTTTTGGTACTGCTTTACCAGTTACCAGTTCTGTGACACTAACCAGCTTTCCTATCCCCATGTGCCTTAGTTTGCTAATCTGCAACAACGGGTCGATGGTACAGATAGGGGAATTCTCTAAAGATTCCATGCACACTTCTCTTTTCATTTTGAAGCCTCTCTCACAGTCAGAATAAGGCCATTGAATTTCAGGTCTTGGACAATGAACACTAGGCAGACACTAGTCACGTCTGGTCTAGGAAGTTCTCTATATTCTCTTCCCCTGACTCAGTAGTCCCGGAAACCCCATGTAGAGATAATAACATCAAAATATGTCAAGAGACACTATCAGCCTCATTCTCTGTCGGGCCCATTCTGCATTACAGCTTTTAGATACCACATTCTCTTACCTCTCTGTACAGTTTGCTGGGATTTCCAGACCTCCCAAACCAATTGTGAGATAGGCTCCACATCCAGCTCACAGCCCCAGGGGTCTCTGTGTATCTCTTACCCCAGGATCCTCTTCTTTTCAGAGTAACCAGACCCTGGAGGCATGTGAGAGATGGAATGTTACCCACACGTGTGTAGAGAAGAACGACTGAAAAAGAAAAAACAAAAATCATGAGGGCATCAAAAAGCTGGATCTTAGTTTCTGTAAATTAAACCCCTGCTTTTCTAAGCAAACACCCCCTTCCTGCTCAGGCTCAGTCCTTCTCCTCTATCCCTCCTTCTGTGGCTGACTGGCTCTGTTGGCCACCTGCAGGTTTAATTGAAGGTAACTAAAATTAAGTAAGAGGTTACTTCTGATCCGAACTCTCAGAGCCGGTTTGCCATGCCCAGGCTGACTGCGCCTCGGATTGCTAAGACAGCATTTATTCTCTTGGCGCCCACTCTGCCCCTCACACTGCACCTCTCCTAGTGGTTTGCCTGAACCCCGCCAGGTGCCTCCACAGGCCTCATCTCCGCGGATCTCTATTGTACTCGTGTAGTGATACTAGAGTACAACCGGTTCCCGATGAGTTGTCTGCTGCAGCAATGGAACAAGTCACGCTGGTGCCTTCAACTCTAAAGGTTGGCTCCTTTCTGGTAACCATCAGTTAGTTCTCTATAGTTAAGTCCATTTCTTGGTGAGAGGGGGTGAAGGGTGAAATAGATAAATGGGGATTAAGGAGGGCCCTTGTGAGGAGAACCTGATGTTATGTTTAAATAATGAATCGCTAAATTGTACACCTGCAACTAATATTACAATGTATGTTAACTAACTGGAATTTAAATTTTAAAAACTTAAAAATATATATTCTTTAAATAGAGAAAAAAAAGAAAACTTGGCTCTTTTCCCCACCGATCCTTGGCTAGCTACTTCCTTGTAGGTAGGTGACACTACTTGCCTTTTCTCTCAGGTTTTCGTTTTGGTCTCGTCCTTTTCTTCTTCTCTGCAATCCTGTCCCATTCTTACTGTATCTCAGACTTAGCCATACCTTGCCTTCCTTTCTTCTCTCTTTATTTACTTCTTTGTTTCTTTCCTTCCTTCCCTCCTTTCTTCCTTCCTTCTTGTTTACTATAACCATGAACTATTACCTCTATTCTTATTTATTCAGTATTTTTCTTTACATCAATTCCTTTTAAAAATTAAATGAACTAGGGGCGCCTGGGTGGCGCAGTTGGTTAAGCGTCCGACTTCAACCAGGTCACGATCTCGCGGTCCGTGAGTTCGAGCCCCGCGTCAGGCTCTGGGCTGATGGCTCAGAGCCTGGAGCCTGTTTCCGATTCTGTGTCTCCCTCTCTCTCTGCCCCTCCCCCGTTCATGCTCTGTCTCCCTCTGTCCCAAAAATAAATAAACGTTGAAAAAAAAAATTTAAAAATTAAATGAACAAGAAAAAGCCCAGAGTAATCCAAACAAAACTCTGTACCACTACTATAATTAAGCAATTATTTTACTTGTCACAGGCAGGAAACTAAAAATGAATACAATGAAAGCAAAAATTGTTGCTGTTATTAAGCCCCAATTCCAGTACAGTTCCCTGCCAAATATTTGAGACCAGTCTTGTTCTCTTTTGTTAGAAAAGGGAGAAATTAAGGTTTGATCAGTTATTTATTGCTACGATAATATTACATAATAAACAGTGGCACACATTTATTTAACACACATTTACTGCTTTCTCTCTAGTCTCAGACCAGTGGCTCTTTTTATAGTGGATAGCAGAAGCACCCCAAAATCAAGCCAAACCCTGTAAGCGCATTTAAAACTTCTGTTTGCGTCATTTCTGTTAATGTTCCATTGGCCAAAGCAAGCCACAGGACCAAGCTCAACCTCATCAAGCAGAGAACCATATTCCTTCCTGAATACGTTGTGTGGGAGTAGGGAGTGAGCAGAGAGTGAATATTCGGTGAATAATAAATCTATTCTACCACCATAGAGTAGAGGACAGAGAAGTAGCAAACTGAGACTTTCTCTTTTTTTTAATTAATTAATTAATTTTAAAAATCTTTCTATGTCTTTTATTTTTTGTTATTTATTTATTTATTTTTATTCTCAGTTTAGTTGACATACAGTGTATTCTTGGCTTTAGGAGTAGAACCCAGTGATTCATCACTTACATATAACACCCAGTGCTCATCCCAATAAGTTCCCTCCTTAATGCCCATCACCCATTTCCCCCACCCCATCAACCCTCAGTTTGTTCTCTGTATTTAAGAGTCTCTGTGGTTTGCCTCCCTCTCTGTTTTTATCTTATTTTTCCTTTCCTTCCCCTATGATCATCTGTTAAATTTCTCAAATTACACATATGAGTGAAGTCATATAATGTGTTTCTCTGACTGACTTGTTTTGCTTAGCATAATACCTTCCAGTTCCATCCACATTATTGCAAATAGCAAGATTTCATTCTTTTTCACCACCAAGTAGTATTCCATTGTATATGTATACCACAGCTTCTTTATCTATTCATCAGTTGATGAAAATTTGAGCTCTTTCCATAATTTGGCTATTGTTGATAGTGCTGCTTTAAACATTGGGGTGTATGTGCCCCTTCAAAACAGCATTTTTGTATCCTTTGGATAAATTCTTGTTAGCAGAATTGCTGGGTCCTTGGGTAGTTCTATTTTTTTTTTTTTTTTTTTTTTTTTTTTTTTTTTGGAACCTCCAGGTTTCCAGAATGGCTGCACCGGTTTGCATTCTCTCCAACAGTGCAAAAGACATCCTCTTTCTCCACATCCTCACCAGCATCTGTTGTTTCCTGAGTTGTTAATTTTAGCAATGCTGACCAGTGTGAGGTGGTATCTCATTGTGGTTTTGATTTGCATTTTCCTGATGATGAGCAATGTTGAACATCTTTTCATGTAACTGAGACCTTCTAGTTGACTTAGTTGAAAAGAAATGGACAGGGTGAGCTCACTCTGGTTCTGGACAAAATCAGGGTTCCTTTAGCAAGGAACAAGGTGGTGTAGAGGTGATTGTGCAGAAGGCCACTGAGTGGGTCGATTAGCCCACTAGGGCTGCTGTAACAAAACCCTACACACTGGGTGGTTTAAACAACAGACATTTATTTTCTCACAATTCTGGAGGCTGGATGTCCAAGATCATGGTGCTGGCAGGGTTGGATTCCTCTTGGCTTGCAGATGGCCAGACTCTTGCTACCTCTTCACATGGTCATCTGTCTATGCATGCACTTCTGGTACCTTTCTATGTCCCCTAACCTGCTCTTTTTTTGAAGACACCAATCAAGTTGCATGAGGGCACTCTCTAATGCCCTCCTTTTAACTTAATTGCATCTTTAATTTTTTTTTAATTTGAGAGAGAAAGAGAACATGAGCCAGGGAGAGAAGCAGATGGAGAGAGAGAATCTTATGCAGGCTCCATGCTCAGCACAGAGCCTGATGCAGGGCTCAATCCCAAGGCCCTGGGATTGTGACCTGAACTGAAATCAGGAGTCAGACACTCAACTGACTGAGCACCCCAAGCACCCCTTAACTGCCTCTTTCAATGTCTTATCTCCAAGTACAGTCACCTTCTGAGGTAATGGGGGCTAGGGCTTCAGTATACAAAATTTGGGGGACACAATTCAGTCCATAACAGCAGGAGAAAAGCGATATTGGCCACACTTGTTGAAGTCCCTCCCTCCTCCAAAAGTTGCTTCTTTGATTCTGTATCTTTTCTTCTGTTCCTTCCCCTTCCAATTAATGTTTATTGGATATAGTAGACTACATTAGCTGTTTCCATCTTTTTTATCTGTCACTGATAATCCAAAGCTAATTTTTTCTCACTTAATCACTCACCAAAACTGTTTGGGTTTTGTTTGTTTATTGTTTGTTTTCTGGAAACACGTTTTCTAATCTGCTTGCTACCAAATGCAATAGGTCCTTTTCAGTTCTGACTCATGGCCATTCTGGGTGATGTCAAGAAACTCTTCAATTGCTCTCTTGTTTATGTTATCACATCCTGTCTTTTCTGAGTCTCCTTTGTCAATATTGTCCACAGGGCCCCCTTTCTATTTCTTCTCTTTAGATATTCTTCTTCTCCAAGGACCCATCCTCAGCAAATAGCTCCTCTCATTCCCTATGAACTTTTCATCTCATTCTTCCTCTGTCTGGGTAATTTCCTAAACCACATTTAAAATCATGACCTTTCGGTTACTAGGAAGATGGCAGCGTAGGAGGACACTGGGCTCACCGCGCGTCCTGCTGATCATTTAGAGTCCACCTACACCTGCCTAAATAACCCAGAAAACTGCCAGAGGATTAGCAGAACGGAGTCTCCAGAGCCAAGCGCAGACGAGAGGCCCACGGAAGAGGGTAGGAAGGGCAGCGAGGCGGTGCGCGCTCCACGGACTGGTGGGAGGGAGCCGGGCGGAGGGGCGGCCCTCTGGCCAAGCAGAGCCCCGAGTCTGGCTTGCAAAAGTGGAGGGGCTGGATGGAGTGTGTTCCGACAGCAAGCGGAACTTAGCATCTGGGAGGTCATAAGTTAACAGCTCTGCTCAGAAAGAAGAAAGGCTGGAGAACAAAGGGAGGGAGAGTTGCTGAGCCCCAGGATGACAGAGCTCAGTTTGGTGGGGAACAAAGGCGCTAGCCAGAGCCATCTCCCTCGCCCATCCCCCAGCCAAAATCCCAAAGGGAACCAGTTCGTGCCAGGGAACCTGCTCGCTCCAAGCAAACACCCAATGCTGTGCTTCTGCGGAGCCACCCCTCCGGCAGCGGGTCTGACTCCTCCCGCTGCTACAGGGCCCCTCCTGAGGTGGATCACCTAAGGAGAAGCGAGCTAAGCCTGCCCCTCCTGCCCCCGTGCACCTTGCCTACCCAACCCAGCTAATATGCCAGATCCCCAGCACCACAAGCCTGGCAGTGTGCAAGCAGCCCAGACAGGCCACACCACCCCACAGTGAATCCCGCCCCCTAGGAGAGGGGAAGAGAAGGCACACACCAGTCTGACTGTGGCCCCAGCGGTGGGCTGGGGGCAGACATCAGGTCTGACTGCGGCCCTGCCCACCAACTCCAGTTATACACCACAGCACAGGGGAAGTGCCCTGCAGGTCAGCACCACTCCAGGGACTATCCAAAATGACCAAACGGAAGAATTCCCCTCAAAAGAATCTCCAGGAAATAACAACAGCTAATGAACTGATCAAAAAGGATTTAAATGATATAACAGAAAGTGAATTTAGAATAATAGTCATAAAATTAATCGCTAGGCTTGAAAACAGTATAGAGGACAGCAGAGAATCTCTTGCTACAGAGATCAAGGGACTAAGGAACAGTCAGGAGGAGGTGAAAACCGCTTTAAACGAGATGCAAAATAAAATGGAAACGTCCATGGCTCAGATTGAAGAGGCAGAGGAGAGAATAGGTGAACTAGAAGATAAAATTATGGAAAAAGAGGAAGCTGAGAAAAAGAGAGATTAAAAAATCCAGGAGTATGAGGGGAAAATTAGAGAACTAACTGATACACTAAAAAGAAATAATATATCCATAATTGGTATCCCAGAGGAGGAAGAGAGAGGGAAAGGTGCTGAAGGTGTACTTGAAGAAATCATAGCTGAGAACTTCCCTGATCTG